GGTCATGGACAGTGTGGGGTCATGGACAGTGTGGGGTGTGGGGTCATGGACAGTGTGGGGTCATGGACAGTGTGAGGTCATGGACAGTGTGGGGTCATGGACTGTGTGAGGTCATGGACAGTGTGGGGTCATGGATAGTGTGGGATGTGGGGTCATGGACAGTGTGGGGTGTGGGGTCATGGACAGTGTAGGTTCATGGACAGTATGGGGTCATGGACTGTGTGAGGTCATGGACAGTGTAGGTTCATGGACAGTGTGGGGTCATGGACTGTGTGAGTTCATGGACAGTGTAGGTTCATGGACAATGTGGGCTGTGGGGTCATGGACAGTGTGAGGTCATGGACAGTGTGGGGTCATGGACAGTGTGGGGTCATGGACAGTGTGGGGTCATGGAAAGTGTGAGGCCATCGACAGTGTAGGTTCATGGACAGTGTGGGGTGTGGGGTCATGGACAGTGTGGGGTCATGAACCAGTGAGGGGTCATGGTCAGTGTGGGGTCATGGACAGTGTGGGGTCATGGACAGTGTGGGGTCATGGACAGTGTGAGGTCATGGACAGTGTGGGGTCAAGGACAATGTGGGGTCACGGACAGTATGGGCTCAAGGGAGAGTAGGCAGTTAGAACCGTTGAGCAAAGGGCCTGGTAGATGTTGGAGATGTGCAGTTTGTAATGTCCTCAGTTCCAGGCCCTCTTGACTCAAGTGTTTCCCAATGGGGCGTCCAATGCTGGAGGCTTGTGTGGAAGGAGGTCCTCATCCGAGGAGGGTTCTTCCTGCTGCTCCCACTTGGGTCAGACTGACCAGAGCAGAGTTCATGCCCCCACTTCTGCCCTCACAGCTCGTAGGACCCTCCCTTCTGGGCTTCCCACATCCCAATCCTGGACCTTTGCCTTCCAGATCCCAGCCTTCTCCTGCACAAGGAAGGGCTCAACCCTAGACCCAGGCTCTCCCCCGCCTCTCACAACTCTGTGGGAGACACAGGATGGACTTACCTGCTCTCAGAAGGCCCTTGTGGGAGCTGGAACAGAAAGATAACAAGGATTTGGTGAGACAGATCAGAGGCTACGTCTGCTTTTGCTCAAAGAATTGCAGGAAGAGATGTCCCAGGACTGTGGCATTGGTTCAGTGTTCATTTCCACACGACATCTTGTGTTCAGAAAGGGGGCACCTTAGAGGGAATGTGTGTGAGAGACAGGTGTCTCTTGGCACATTGGCAGCGTGCCCTGGGAACTCAGCCTGCCATGTACTGCTGTGGCCCCTGAGGTGCTGGTCACACTACTTACTGCCTCCATGGAGCTGTCTGAAAACCTGTACCAGGAATGCTCCTCCAAGGATTTTACGTCAGCCACGTAACAACCATCAGCAAGGTCTCCAAGATCATGGCAGATCGCAAACAAGTCATAAGAGTTCCTGTCCTGGAAAGAGATCGAGTCAGCAGAAGGAACCTGGAGGTTGTGCTGAGAAGGGTGCTTACCCACTCGTGCAAATCGAGGAACCTCTCTGTCTTACAGCATGAAATAGGCTTCCCAGGCCCCCAGTCAGTCTTCCCAGCACCCACCATGCAGATCCTGCTTCAGTCCCTTCCTGACAGCCTGGTACTGGGAAAGCAACGGGTCTGTGGAGCGTCACATAGCAGCTCACAGCTCATTCTGACAACTGAGCCTTAATCACCTGGTACTTTCCAACTGCTAATATAGCTAAAAGATTTGTTCCTTGCTGAACCTGCAGAGGGTAATACAAACTATCTCCAACTACAACAAGAAGAAAGCATAGGCCAACTAGAACATCGTCATTTTTCTGAGGCATTGAAGGGCCATGAAGAGGTTGAACAGCCTGGGTTGCAGAGAGATCGGAGAAGAATCTGGTATCAGTGGTTGGAGAACACTATCTTCCATGAGTGGAGAGGCTGGTCGGAGCAGGGAAAAGAGCTAAGAGAAGTGCAGGGCATTGAATCTTACAGGAGACGGAAGGCGCAGAGTTCCTGACAGTGTCACATTGTGCTCCAGCTTCCAGAAGGTTCCATTGTGAAAGGTGAACCTCTGAAGAACAATGACCAGCACGGGGGGCAGTTTCTGCAGGTGCAGTCCCTGAAAGGGCAGCAGGAAGCATGTGGGGACAGCCGCACATGCCCAGGAGCCCCCGTGTCCCTGCCTCACCGAGCAGGAGTGGCCAGCCCTGGTCCTGCCCTGCTGCATGGACCCTTCCCCACAGCGCCCGGCTGGCTCCTCACTCCAGG